GAGGATGGTTCACCCATGCAAATTTTAGGTGCACCAGGGGGCCCGGGGGGCTGGGACCAGGAGAAACCAACACAGACCCCCTCCCCCAAAACCCTTTTTCTTTTCTCATTTTTTTTTATTCGGGGGGGCGTTTTCGACCCCCAGGGGGAGCTCCTGGTTTTTCCGCTCCCGCGTTTCCACGTGTTGGGTAAATTTGGTTTGGACGTGGACCAGTTCTTCCTTGAGACCTTTTTTCCGGGCGCCCAGGGGGTTGATGTTTTCCATCCGGTTTTCGTTGTTCCCCACGGGTTTTTCCCCCAGTTTTTGGGGGGTGACATATGGACCATTTAGTTTACAAACGGGGTTTTGTTTAGCGTCCATTACTTGGGGGGGGTGGCCCTTAAACCGTTTTTTTGAGCAGGTTCTTTTGTAAAATCCCTCCCTTGAAAAAGGTTTTTCCTTGGGGTAAAATTTTTTTGAGTATTTTGGGGGGGGGGGGGGGGGGGGGGGGGGCGTACTCTGTTTCGCATGCCTTAGCACTTAGACCATTGACTACGCGTCCTCGAGAAGACAGAGCTTTGTTAATACAGGAGCGATAACCGATGGCCAATAATTCCTTTCTAATTTGCCAAAGGCGGCTCAAAAACGTTTAGGGGGGGGGGGTCGAAGTAAGTTTACCGTCAACCCGTGCAACACGCAAGTTTCGCACACTTCTCCGTACACTGGTGGTGCAACCGTAGCCCACCGGCGTGACAGCAGTGCCTTCTCCGCCACCCACCCTTCTCCGTAACACCAACCTGCCCTTGTGGAGTAGACTTCTAGGGCACCCCCGTCGTTCGCCGTGAGGATCGGGCAGTTCTTTCTGCGGCAGGGATTCTACCGCTAGAAAACCGGGCCTAGAGAACAAGTGCAGCCCTCCTACCCTTCCGCACACGTCTCGGTGGCACACAGTGTTTGTATTTGTTCACGCGCGAGGTGGTCAGCTACCACTTGAACGCCAGCGAGCGCAGAAAGTATTGGCGACGACAACAAACGAAAGTCGAACAGCGTGGAACAAAATGACCCCCGGTTCCGCGCGGTGGTTTCGGCCGCCGGTATTTCTCCCGCTCCAGACGTTTCGCTCCGGTCCTTTGCGAAGCTCTTCTACATACGCACTCTCTCGAGACTAAGCTGAAGCCCGTCGGCGCTCACGGCAAGGGAGACCCGCATTCCACCCCTACCGTAAACGCCATTTGTGCAGAAAATCCAAGACCCGCATTCCAACTCCAAGAGTAAAGCTCTCGTGGCTCCAGCAAGTCCAGAGGAGTACAACATTCTCGAATCTTGCGTGAAGGTGGCGTATAGCGAGGCGACGCTCACCTCTTTCAGGAGGCACATCGCTGCACGAGCCGCGTCAAATGACGTTGGAGACCCGGTCCCGTCGCTGGGGGGACTGAGGGGGACGCCCTTGGCG